TGAGGCAGCTAGCAGACGGTCGGTTTAGCCAGTCTGTCTGCTTCCTGACCTGGGCCCCAGTTAGTCAAGTGCAAACTCTAAGACTATGTGTCATATTTCTAAACAGAAGAGCGGCACTACCCCAGGAGGGATGAAGACCATCTCTTTTCAACACGTCAGGTCTGCTCCAAAAACTTGTACAATTGTTTATGAAACCTATGTTATTCTGCGGGCACCACTTAGACATCCAGCCATTGAGTGACGACAGTCTGCTATGCATCTCGTCGCCACGGTAAGCAGGGAGGGGACCAGAGCATATTATAGTGTCTGACATCGTACTTGCAAGTTCACACACCTCTTTAATGTTATTTTTAGTGATCTCCGACTGGCGAAGTCGAACATCATTAGCGCCGGCGTGAATAACAATCTTACTGAATTTACGTTTAGCATTAGCCAGCACTTTTAAATTTGCCAAGATGTCAGGCGCTCTGGCTCCCGGTAAACATTGGTCTATGGTGGCTGGTGTCTCTATTTTCACGTTCCCTACAATAGAATCACCAATAACTAGAGCACTTTGATCAGGTTTCTCAGTGGGTGCGTCACTGAGTGGGGAGAACCTGTTTAATGTTTTGATCGGAACGGAAGAGCGGTGTTTTGACCCGCAGCTACCATCAGGCTCTGATGATTCTGACTTACCACTGTTGTTTGATGAACTCGGAGAGAGAGAAAAAAGAAACGGAGCGAGAGAAAAAAAAAGAAAACATCAATAGACGCGAATGGAAACACGAATGACAAGCTAACCGGCTAACCCGCTGAACTCGCGGTTTTAGAATAAAAGTGAATGATCAAATTAATAAGATTAGTTTGATATATAATATCAGAAATAATTAGGTAATTAAGTTATATTTTATCACTTTAAACAACAGAGAGTGAAACAACAGGTATTTCCCCAAATTAAACACAATCACCCCTCCTCCCCTCCCCAGTTAAACACTTCCCAAGGTCTTCTCAAAAGAGCCTCACTATGGAACTATGCCGGTCCACCCGTGATATTTCACGGTGAGGAACAGCTTATCTGATGGCTGGACGGGTCCCGCAACAGTCAGAAATGTCAACCCAACATCACGAAAAAAGAAAATCTTTTTAGCATATAGCTTATCAGTAATAAACCAGAAGTTTGCTTACGTTCATGAAACTGACCCCAAAGAGAAATGTCTTCCCTTAAGACTTGCAAAACCTCTGAGAGTCCGGAGGGTTGTCAAACAAGTGGCGCTTTCCCTTGTATGTCATGTAGCTGGATGCAAGATGCCATAACGCAATTCGGGGATGTTGAGATCGCAAAGATCCTTCTTCACTGCGTCAAATCATTTCCCTTTCTTGTGCAGTTCAGCTGACATGTCAGAAAACTCATGAACATAACATAAGCTTTCTTTTGTCCAGCATCACTGTGCCTTTTGCTCGAGCTGCTTTCAGAGTACGGACTTTGTCAGCGTAGTTTAAGAATTTCATTATCATGGCTCTCGGTGGAGAGTCAGAATGATGTTTGGAGAATCTGCCGATTCGGTGAGCTCTCTCAATTACAAGAGGACCAGGAAAGTTTTCCGGGCCGAGGATCTCAGGGAGTAATTTCTTTAAAAATGCACACATATTCTTTCCCTCGATTTTTTTGTAGATTGGACCGACGACTGCGATTTTCCAGATCATCGACTTTTAATGAGCGAGATTCTATGGCAGTTTTCAATTTTGCGTTCTGCGTTTGCAACTCTAAGACGTTATCTTCTTGAGTGCCCATTCGATCCTCGGCTTCTGTTACCCGTGTTGTGAGAGCTTTAAGATCGCTCTGCACTCCATTGATCGCCTGGAGCAATCCATCAAATCGCACAGCAAAGTCCGATTTCAGTGAATGGATAGCCTCAAGGATTGCAGACTCTTGGCTAACACCTGACGCTGCCTCATTGCTATTGGCTTCATTGGATTTAACATCTGCCTCGGCCTCTTCATGGTCGATTTGACTTGTTTCTGTGTCGTTTTCATTGGTTTTGGTGTCAACTTGGAACGTTAAGATGCATCTGAATTTAAAATGGAATCAGTCTGTCAACATTTGTTGAATTAAAGAAGAACATTTAAGTCAGTATTTGTTGCGGAGCTCCGATTCGCAACCACTCAGCACCACGCCATAACCGGAAATCCAACGCGGATAACATTAAATAAATATTTTTTCAACAGATTAGATATTGATTATTTATCACTCAAACTCTTTCTCTACCTGTCCATCGGTCTCGCATATCTGCCATGTTTGTAGTTTTTTGTAGTTTGTAGTTCTAATCGAATCCTCATCCACCGCGCAATGTGATGTGGGCAATATTAACCATTTGAGTGTGCACAGATCTGCACTTCGAATTTCTACCAGAAGCAGTAAACCATCCGGGTACCTTTGGAATACTCATTTCAACATACTACGATTTGGGACATATTAATTCTAATTTTGAATACTATAATATAGGATGGATAGTATGCGAATTGGGATGCAGCAAGAGATTGTTTTACTATAGGGAGATGAGAGGGTCTGTGAGAAAGCGTAACGGTCAACTTGGATCACGTGTGCCTTGATAACCAATCACATTACAGCCTTGACGTCATTGAATTTCATTGAGTTGGAAGGTCTTGCTTTAAGACAGAAATATAGAGAAACTTATCTAAGAGATCAGGGCCCTTATTCACAAAACATATTATCTTACCACTAAGAGTTCTCCTAAATAGCAGTAAAAGTTTTTAGCTAAAATTTTTCTCTTAAAACCTCACAAAGCTGCTGAGACAAACTTTTACTAAGGAATAGAGGGAAGTCTTAAGCTAAGAGTAAAGGCCCGTTCACACCAAGCACGATAACTATAAAGATAACGATAAAGATATAGTTCTAAAAATCGTTCTTAATATTAAAAAATAGCATAGTTCACACCACAACTATAACGATACAGAGGAACGATATTGTTGTGATCACTTTCAAAACGTTTTTTTTTCCAGCTGATGAACAATAAAACACTAACAGCCAATCAGAATCCATCCTGCTGTAACGAGCTCAAGAGTTTAAAGTGGCAGACGTATGTGCGCTTAGAATAAACAGACGATATCTTTCGCTGGTGTGGACGCTAATATCGTTATCTTTATAGTTATCTTTATAGTTATCTTTATTGGTGTGAAGGGTGACCTTGTTGCTATAGATGATGTCAGCATGCTTACTAACTATGCACACAGTGATTGGCTGATAGGGGAGGGGTCTCTGTCAGAGATTTATTCATAGAAATATTGTAGAGCACGATGTTGCCATATATAAAGGTTTAAAAATAAAAATGTTGCCACATTCAAATAAAGATTTTAAAATGCAGGCTAAGTGTTACTAATTAAACAAGTATATGTTCAGCTAATTGTCAGCCTCTTACATCTGACAACAGATTTTATGGTCCCACTTTATATTAAGTGGCCCTAATACCTGTGTACTTACATAGTAACTAGATGTGTACATAGTATGTAACCACAGTGTAAGTACACATTGGTACATAGTATATACAGCTGTTATGTTTGTGTAACTACACATATGTAACAATCCACTGAATGGTATGCGTAAATACAAATGTGTAACAGGACATTGGTAACAACACTTTTTGGTAATGAAAGTACAAATGTGTAACAGGTCTAACAGCACGTTCACCAACTTGAGATCCAACTCCTCCCACTTTACATATCCCTAAACCTACCCATCTCCACCCCCTGGATCAAATTGTTCCAATTACTCTTATACATATTGTTGTTACAAAATGTAGTTATATATGTCCTGTTACACATTTGTACTTACACAAACCATTTGGAGGGTTGTTACATGTGTGTAGTTACAGAAATATTACAGCTCTAGATACTATGTACCATCGTGTACTTACACTGTGGTTACATACTACGTACACATCTAGTTACTATGTAAGTACACAGGTATTAGGGACACTTAATATAAAGTGGGACCGATTTGGTCAATGAAATTCATATGAATTTGATGTTGTGTACACTAGTGATCTAGAGTACTGTAACATAAACCCATAAACAATAAATATAATAGAATTAGAACAAAGCTTTAAATATATATATATATATAAAACAAATTCTAAACATAGAGGCTTCACTGCAAAGCCCATTTACAACAAAAATATAATTGAACTGTCCACATAAAAATACTAAAAATGATAAATGATGACAACAGTTTGCTAGCCATGTTAACAGTGAATAGCTACATGCTAATATCGATTAGCTAAGTTCTGAAACATGCTTAAAACACCATAGTAACCATCTATAACTAGCAGCTGCCTAGCAACACATCTGTTTATGTAATAATAAATTAGATATGCTCAATCCAGTGACATTATATATTTGCCACGAAAGGGAGTTTTCAACAACAACGGACCTATATGTTAGAGAGCAATTATCCAGCCCAATATATATTTATAACCACTGTTTCTCCCTGTGTGTAGCGTGCTGGTGTAGGTGTTCCCCTTATTGTGTGTGAGTCCAGTGCTCCTGCACTACTGGATCTGCTAAGGGAGAGAGGGGAAAGGATTCTGGGATTGGAGGCTGATATGACACGATGGGAACAGAAGTACTTAGAAGAGAGTGCAATGAGGTCATTGCACGCACATGCACGTTTACACAGGTATCTGTATAAATACATAGTGAAGTCAATTTTTATTTGCACTTTTATTTGCACTCATCTCATATTCTTTTCAGCATGTTTCATCTGTTTACCTATAAAGTATATTATTTTTTTCCCTTTTTTTGTTTTTAATTGAAGTTTTTATTGCTTTTTTTGGAAGGCTGATGGGTAACAGAAGTACAACATTACAATAATTATACATGGATACAAATTTCTACAGGCACATTTTAACCACGAAATACAATACTGTGCAAGACAGAACACAAAATAGTTGTCTATTCATTTTGAGATCTTACTGTAATATATGTCCAGAACTCTTCCCAGGAAGATAACCCTTCGTCTCTAACACCATTTATTCAATTAAGCATGGATTCATAAGATGCCATTTCTACCATTGCATTGGCCCACTCTTTCGATTCTGGGGCTTTCACTGTCTTCCAGTGTCTCAAAATAATCCTACTTGCATTGTAATACATACCATAATAACAGAAAATATATGTTTTGAAACATTAGGCATTTGAGATTTGTCACCTAGTAAACACAATTTAGGGGTTAAAGATATTTCGGAGCCATACCAGCAAATTATGACATCCATAATCTGTTTCCAGTATGGCTTAACAAGACTACATTCCCACATACAATGTAAAAAGTTACCCATTTCCGACTGGCATTCCCAGCATAAATTGTCTTTCATCAGTTTCATTCTGTAAAGTCTTACCAGAGTATGATAATATCTGTGTAGAATATTATATTGAGTGAACTTCCCCCTTGCTTCTTTTATATAGTTACCACACCCCGCCACGATGCTGGACCATTTTTCTGAATCAATTTCTTCGCCAATATCTCTCTGTCCTTAAATTTACCAAGTCACTGCTTCTGAAAGAGTTTACTGTTTTATATAATTGAGAGGATTTACGAGATTCTTGTGTTTTTTTTAAAGTAACTTAAAATAGGGTTGTTATCCACATGGCCAATTCATCCAATCAATTTGATATTCTTTCCAGATTCCAATATATTCCAATATTATTTAGCTATCTTTGCCAAAGCAAATGACAAATTTTATAATCTACAATCAGGAAAACCCATCCCTCCGTTCTCTTTAGGGGAAATTAACTTGTTTAGATGAATTCTTGCACTTTTCCCATCCCACAAGAAATGTTTCATTAAATTGTCAAATTGTTTAAAAAATGAAATTGGTATTTTAATTGGAAGCATCATTAATACATAGTTGAGTTGGGGGGCTATCACCATTTTAATAATACAGATTTTGCCCCAAAGAGTAAGTTTAATTTTCTCCCACTTCTCTTTGTTTTAAACTTGTAAATTGAATGCTATTATTTCCTCCTTGTTGCGGGACAGTTTTATTCCTAATTATTTAATTCCCTTAGAGACCCATTTGAATTTAAACTGTTCTACCATAATTGGTAAACATGAATTGGAAAGGGGGGTAGCTTCAGATTTATTCCAGTTGACTGTGTATCCTGACAGTTTTGAGAAGAATTGCATAACATCCATTAGATGTGGTAAAGAGGTAAGAGGTAAGAGGATCAGTTATGACTGCTAAAATATCGTCTGCATGTAGCAAGATTTTATGTTCTTTATCTCCTGCTTTCACTCCCCTAATCCCATTGTGTGCTCGAATGATAATTGCTAGTATTTCCAAAAAAATAATAAACAAGAGTGGGCTTGATGAACACCCCTGACGTGTCCCTCTTGAAAGATAAAAAAAACGGGGATACAACTCCATTAGTGATCACTGCGGCCTTTGGTTCTTTGTTTGAACCCAAGAAATAAAATTTTGCCCAAAGCCAAAATGTGACAGGGTTGTAAACAAAAATTGCCACTCCACTTTGTCAAAGGCTTTCTTACAAGAGAAATAATAGAAGCCCGCCGCTTCCTAAACATTTCTTGATACACCTCGTTGAGTATTGGGGCTATCTACAAATTCCTTATAGTACACAGCAGGCAGGCCGTCGGCACCTGGTGATTTTCCTTTTTTCATTGATGAAATTACTTCTTTGATCTCACTCACTGATATGGGTGATTCCACCTCATCCACCTGATCAGGCTGCAATCTAGGAATATCGACATTTGACAGAAAATCTCTAATCTCATTTTGGACAAATTTACTGTGTGTAGTAGAAGTATACAATTTTTCATAATATTGCTGAAATGTTTTATTTATGTCTTTGGCCCCCCAAAATCTCCCTGTTTAATTACTGGTATTGTGTTGGAGGTGTTTTTCTCTCTCAGTTGTCTAACTAATAATTTCCCTGTTTTCTCTCCTGCTTCATACAAGTTTGTTTTCAGTCTATACAGTGCATATTGCACCTTTTTATTATAAATCTCATGCAATTGATATTTTAACTTACAGAGCTCTTGATACTGATTGTCAGAAAAAATATTGATTAGTTGTAATTCCCTATTTTTAATTTGCTTTTCCAACTCTTTAATCCAATTTAAGTTTTCTTTTTTTTTTCTTGCAGCCTGAGCTATGAGCTTTCCTCTTAGCCTTAGAGGCTTTCTTAGACTGTTGAAATGTCTTCTGTACTCCCTAAATTTGTTTCAGAAAAGAGTTTTAAATCCTCCTCTAGAGCATTCCGGAAGACAGGGTCTGAGAATAGTGCAGTATTCATTCTCCATCTTCCTCGTTTATCTTTATCACTGGTTAAATTCAGAAGTAATCTACTGGCGCGTGGTCAATAATAGATATGGTCTTTATGACACAATTAGCTACATCGATCCTTGAATACATTTTAAGTTTGTGAGAGAAAAAGGTGTAATACCTATTCCTAGGTTTGGACTGCCTCCATGTATCTGTAAGGCCCAGATCACAACCCAACATACTGTATGTATTGCTTCCCTTCCCTTTGATAATAAATGAGTTTGACGTGAATTTATCAAGGAATGGATCCATTATTACTTCATTAAGTCACTGAATTAGTCCACACACTGAAAATATATTTTCCAATGAGACCAAAAAAGGCCAACAATTTCCCTTTACAAAAAACATGCAAGATCCATCTCTTCATTTAATCCAGTTGGGGTTAATGATTTCAATTCAAAAATCCAAAAAGCCTCTCTCTGTAACAATTTTCTATCACGGTTACCACCTCTTCTATGCAAGAGAACCCTCTCAATGCTGAACTCAAAATGACGAAAAACCGGAGAAGTGTGATCTTGTCTCCTGATAGCACACGTTTCATTACTGAACATTATTGAACACATGATTGCTATCAGGAGACAAGATCACACTTCTCCGGTTTTTCGTCATTTTGAGTCTGCAAAGATTTTAAATTCCTGGGCATTGAGAGGGTTCTTTTGCATAAGAGAGGTGGTAACCGTGATACAAAATTGTTACAAATTGTTTTTTGGATTTTTGAGTTGAAATCATTAACCCCGACTGGATTAAATGAAGAGATGGATCTTGCATGTTTTTTGTAAAGGGAAATTGTTGGCATGACAATTATCCCTCATTGATTAAGATCAGCTGTCAACAATTTGCAATTGTGCCTATATAAGTGTGTTGTTGCTTTTTTGCCTCATGAGCACTGAAGAAAGCATGGGCTGATCTCCGGTTTTTCGTCATTTTGAGTCTGCAAAACATTCTTTTTCTGATTTCAAATTCCTGGGCATTGAGAGGGTTCTCTGAAACGTCTGCTCTTTGGTCTGTTTTTAATACACTTTGCACTTTGTAACTTTTTTCACTACTTGCATATGGAAAATAAAAACTACATTTTTGAGAGACCTTTTTTGGTCTGATTGGAAAAATTTTCAGTGTTTCAGCGACTTGTTGGACTAAAACTTTCTCCCTTTTGTTTTACGCACCTGGAAACTTATTGTTCTTTTTGAGCGCACAAAATTCCTGTTTGATCCATTACTTCATTAAAATCTCCAGCTAGCATTATTTGACCTTCAGAATTTCCCAACATGTGATAAAGCTTGTGAAAGAAAGATGGGTCACTCTTGTTGGGTGCCATTCGTGTTGGGCACCATTCCCTCTACCATGGCCTCAAGACACAAAATCCGTCCTTCTGAATCTTTCTTTTGTTTTAACAGAACAAAATTTATATTTTTATGGATTAGAATTATCACTCCATTACATTTACTGGAGTATGAACTGTGAAAAACATGCCCATCCCACCTTAAAATTTTCTGCTTGTTTGCCCTTCATATGAGATTCCTGAATAGATACAATGTTTGCTTCAAATGTCTCAATACTTTTTTTCTTTTAACTGTACTTTCAGTTAATGTTCCATGAGATAAATTTAACTCGTCTCCCTAGCATTGTTAATTGTCTGTTCTCATAAGCCCGTTCCCTCCATTAACAGCTTATGTACTAATAACTTTAAACACTTAAACCCCTGCATATGAACACTTAACGTTACCCAAAACCTTCCTAGTTTTGATCTTTGTAACCTTAACATTTCAGTCCCTCTGAACTTTGAAACATATTAACAAGAACAAGTGCAAAAAATAAAAAAAATAAAAAATAAGTCAGACTACTCCCCATCCCTCTTTTCTAGGCATCCAAGTTTTTGCACCATGAAGGAAGGGGAAAGAAGGGAAAAGAAACAAACAAACAAAAATAAATAAAAATAAACACAAAAAACCTTAGGTCCGTAGGTTTATCGCAGCTCCTGTGCACGCTATCTTCTAGGCCGTTTCTGTCTAAGCCGCTCGGGAGTTATCATTCAGTTTCTACATACCTACAACTGAAAATAAATGTTTATAATTCGCTTAACTCACCTTAATTTATTCCAAGTGCTTCTTAGTGACAATGTTCCTTAATGAATCTTTCAGCTGCCTCCGCATTTGTAATTCGTTCTTCCACTTGAAACGTAGTGTTGCTGGAAAGGTAAGCGAATATCTTACGTCGACTTCCCGTAGTCTCTGTTTCGCCGGGGTGAATGTCTTCTTCAGAACAGCAAGTTCTTTCGACATATCTGGAAACAAAGAGAAGTGACAATCCTCCCAGACAATTCTCCGCTTCCCTTTCG